ACGCCCGGGCCGACGGTGGACCTGCTCCCGACGCCCGCGCCGACGCCCGCGCCGACGCCCGCGCCGACGCCGAGCGCGATCCTCATCAACGTCGACGGCCTGTCCTACGACAAGGGCCAGGCGCTCCTCGCGGGCGTCGCGTACGACCTCACGACGCAGTTCACGGGGTCGCTCACCGACGACCTCTCGTCGGTGCGCATCTGCCCCGTCTGGGAGATCGAGGACCACGGCCACTGCGAGCCCGACAGCGACCACGCGCAGACCGTGGCCTACATGGTCGACGACGGCGTCTCCGCGTCGTTCACGCCGGACGCGAAGCTCGTCGAGGAGGGCCTCGTCGTCTTCCAGGTCATGTCCATCCAGGGCGACCTGGCCTTCACGGGCACCTTCGCCGTCGCCGACTTCGAGCCGAGCCCCGCGCCGTCGGCGCCGCCGTCGCCGAAGCCCACGATGTCGGACCCGTCGGCCGCGCCGTCCGCCGCGCCGTCCGCCGCGGGCCTCCGGCTCCACGTCACGACGGCGACGCACACGCCCGTCTGGTTCGTCGGCGAGAGCGAGCAGATCGACCTCCACCTCACGGGCCTCGGCGACCCCGGCGCGCTGTCGACGGGCTTCGTCGACGTCTACATGTACGACGCGGACGACGCGGCGATGCAGCCCGTCGTCGTCCTCGCCGAGGGCGCGGAGATGATCGACGGCGCGCTGAGCCTGAGCTACGCGGTCACGTCCGACTACGTCGGCGGCTTCAAGATCCGCGCCCACGAGTACACCTACGGCTACTACGCGGAGAGCGACGAGTTCCACATCTCGACGACGTCCTACCCGACGGCGGCGCCGAGCCCGGACCCGACGCCCGCGCCGACGCCGACGCCGACGCCCGGCCCGCTGCCCGAGCCCACGGCGGCGCCGACGATCTCGACGCTCCTCGTGGACCTCCAGCTCGACGCCGACGCCATGGCGCCCGACGCGACCGTCGTGTCGAACGCGTCCGTCTTCACGGTCACGTTCACCTACTCCGGCGAGCTCCAGAAGGTCAGCGGCTACCTCACGCTGCGCATCTGCGAGTCGACGTCGAGCCACGTCGCCTACTCCGGCGACGCGGCCGCCGCGACCTACGAGTCGTGCGACGAGGCCGAGACGCTCCTCCTGTCGCAGACCTTCTCCGAGTCCCTGACCTACGAGTTCACGGCGCCGACCATCGACTCGTCGAAGCCCTTCTACCTCCGCGCGGACTCCATCGCGTCGCGCGACAGCGGCGACTACGACTCGCAGTCCGCGTACACGCTCGCCTACGAGAGCGACAACTTCTACTTCGTCGCGTTCTACCCGACGGCGAAGCCCACGGAGGCGCCGACGATCCCGCCGACGTACCCGCCGACGACGACGCCCGTCTTCGAGCCCACGGCCCTGCCCACGGAGCCCAAGCCGAGCTCGGCGCCCGTGCCCGCGCCGACGGTCGGCGTGCTCCTCGACAGCGCGCTCTGGTACAAGACGGACGAGCCGAGCAAGGACTGCGTCTGGGTCGCCGCGTACTTCGACACGGACAACGACGACTACGTGCGCTGCGACGTCAAGGGCTGGGACGACACCTTCGCGTACGAGTCCTGTGCCCTGACCTGCGCGGACTACGACTCGAGCAACCTCTAGACCCCCCGCCCCGCCCAGCTCCCCCCCAATTCGCCTCTTCGCCCCGGCGAACCCCACCGCCCCCCGCCGCCCACTCCGCCCGTCCCTCTAAAGACGCCCTTGTTCTTGCAATCGCTGCGTTTGTGTGACGGCACCTTGAAGCACCGTGACACAAGAATCTGTGGCGGCAGCTGATCGAACTGCCTGTCGTGGGCTGCGCTAATCGGCGCGGCATATAAGATGGTGGCAGCCTGATCGAACCTGCGAGCCATGGGCTGCAGCTAATCGGCGCGGCGAGCGATCCCATGCCTCGCAACTGAGCCGATGGCGACGCGCTGGCTCGTCGTCGTTTCAGCGCTGCCACTCGCCACGCACGCCACGATTCCCAAGGTGCTGTGGCAGACGGTGGCGAACGCGTCGCGGCTGACGCCCGCGTTCCTCTCGCAGCGGCGGCGGACGCTGAAAGCGAACCCGGGCTGGCGCGTCGAGGTCCTCGACGACGCGGCGCTCGAGCGCTTCGCGGCGTCCGAGCTCGACGAAACCCTGCGGCGCACGTTTGCGTCGATGAACCCGGCCGTCGGCGCCGCGCGCGCGGACTTCATGCGCTACGCGCTCCTCTGGGTGCGCGGCGGCGTCTACCTCGACGCGGACTGCTGCGTCCGCGAGCCGCTCGACGCCTGGCTCCGGGGCGGCGCGGGGCTCCAGCTGCTCTACGAGCCGCGCCAGTTCCCCTACCACGCGCCGCCGCGCACGGACGACCCGGACGAGCGGGACATCGCGGCGCGCGCGGGCCGCGTCTTCGCGCACCTGCGCGCGCGCGGCGTCGCGTCCGAGCCCGCCGGCGCGCACTCGCTGCTGCCGCTCGTCGTCGCGCAGTGGTTCCTCGCCGCGCGGCCGCGGCACCCGGTCCTCGGGGCCGCGCTCGCGCGCGTCGCGCGGTCCTACGACGCCTGGGCCGACGACGGCGACGCGCTGGCGCTCGAGGCGCGCTTCAAGGTCGTCTACCTCACGGGGCCCGCGCTCTTCAACGCCGTCCTCCGCGACGACGCCGGCGGCGACGTCGACGTGCTGGGCGTCGTCGACCGGCTCGACCGGCCCTGGGACGCCTGGGTCGCCGAGGCGTACGGGGACCGGAGGGTCGCGGGCCTCGTGGACTACCACTGCCTCGCGGACGCGTACGAGGCGCCGTCCGCGGGCTACGCGAACTACAAGGACCTCCCGAGCTGCGCGCCCATGAAGACCGACGCGCCGCGGTGCCCCGGCGTGGCGGTCCCCGCGTGCTACGGCGCCTACTGCCGCGCGCACGCGGACCTCCGCGCCGCGTTCTGCGGAGGCGGCGCGTGCGCCGCCGCGGCGGAGACCCAGGCCTGCGGCGCCCACTGGCGCGACCACGGCGCCGCCGAGGGGCGCGAGCCGAACCCGGAGGCGTGCTCCTGCTACGAGGCGTACTGCGACCGGGCGGACCGGCCCCGGCGCCGCCACGGCGCGCACCGGCACCGCCACGCGCGCCACCCCGGCTAATGTTTGTCCCAGGAGGAGTAAGCGCCGAAGGACGGGGGGCGCGTGTCTCCTGCTTGGTGCCGCCCCCCCTGATCTGGACATGCCTCTAATGATTAACGACGGTCAGCGGCGCGCGGCGGGCTTCTCGCCTCGTCGCTGGCCCGGGATGCGGCCGGAGACGGCGTCGACGCTCTGGCAGCCCTCGGCGCCCTCGATGCGCGACCACTCGCCGTTGAGCTCGTACCAGCACGTCCCGCGCGGCGTGACCTTGGTCGCCGTCGCCGGCAGCTCGGCCTGCAGCGACGCGGTCGCGTCGGCGCCGCGGGACCGGCGCGCGGCCTCCTCGCGCTGGCTCTGCTCCGCCTCGTTGAGCCGCTCGAGCAGGCCCGACAGCTCCTCGAGCTGCTTGTCCCGCGTCGGCTCCTCGCCCTGGACGGGCAGCGCGCGCGCCGCCCGCCGCGGCAGCGCGAGGCCCGCGGCGACCGGCACGGCGCGCAGCAGGCGCCGCCGCGAGAGCCGCCAGGCGCGCGCGGCGCCGCAGCAGAGCGCAGCGAGCACGAGCACGCGCTTGCACGGCATCGCGTCGTCGATTGTCGCGCCGCCGCGGCGCGCGAATCCTTCGCCACTGGCGCGGCAGAAGTTGTGCGCGCCCGCACCTTGGAACACGAGTCGAGTGAATGCAGGCACGATGCATTTTCGAGTGCGGGCAGCCCCGAATCAATCACACGCTTGCGATGGCATGGTGGACGGCTGTCCTGGCGCGGGCATGGACGCGGTGAACTTCTTCTGCGCGGAAGCCGATCAGAACCCGCCCGGAGACGAGTTTCGGGTCGGCGGAGGGCGGCCGTCGTCGCCGCCGCAGGAAGAAGTGCCCATGATGCCGGAGAAGAAGCCGTCGTCCTTCGACACGCTGCGCACGGCCCTCGGCAGCGGCGAGGCGACGGCGTCGCCCCCGAAGCCGCCCCCCGCGCCGGACCAGGGCGAGTTCAGCGACACGGCGTCGGGCGCGTCGCTCGTCTGCGGCGCGCCGCCGGACGAGATCGCCGCGCCGGCGCCGAAGCCCGACACCCGCCTGCGGACCCCCGGCCAAGCGCGCGCGCTCGGTCCAAGGACCCGCAGGCAAGAGGCAGCGCTGAGCTCGGCCAAGACGCGGCGGCCCCCGACCTCGCTGTGTGCGCCGTGATCAACTAAAGTCCCGCCGCGGCCTTCGACCTTGCCTACCGAGGGGACGTTCGAGCGCGTGAATGGTCGCAATCGATGCACCTGGCGCCGAGAACGAGCGCCGGACGGATCGCTCTCGGAGAGCCCTCAGCGCGGCCCAGCTGAACACCGTCCACCGACGGTCTCGCGGGCCGCTCGAAAGCTTCAAAGCCGCCCCAGGGCATCCCGAATCGATGCCCGTGCGAAGAAACATTCGTGCCCCTCGGCCTCTCGCTGCCTCGGCGGACGTCTGCGGAGCCGACATCGTGTCGCAGAGCCGGCGGACCGCGGAGCCGTTTCGCCGCGGCCGACGACGAGCTGGTGCGTCGGGCGCGCGCGCGACGCGACGGCCCGTCCAGCGACGCGCGCCCGGACGACGTGCGGCGGACCGCGGAAGCCGCGCACGCGGTCCAGGACTCCGTCGGGCGCGGGCAGAGTCGCGGAGCCGGTTCGCTGCGGCCGACGACGAGCTGGCCGACGACGAGCTCGTGCGCCGTACGCGCGAGCGACGCGACAGGCCGTCCGGCGATATCTCACACAATCGGAACGGAGTGTACGGCGGATCGCGGAAGCCGCAGCAGCTCGCGGTCCAGGAGCGCGCGAGACAACCTCCGAGTCGAGAACGATCGTGAGAGCGGCTAATTTAACTGTGAATTGGGCTAGGCCCCGCAGGGCTAGGCGTCGTCGAAGTCGCCGTCGCTGTCGTCGGCGTCGGAGAAGACGGGCTCGCCGTCCGTGATGCGGATCTCGTCGTCGGGGTCGCGCTCCACGGCGCCGTCGGCCTCGGGCTCCGCGGCGGTGGCGGCGCGCAGCCGGTCCTGGAGCTCGGCCGCCTTGCGCCGGGCTTGGACAACGTTGCTGTCCTTCTGGTTCTTGCGCAGCGCGGCGTTGCACTGCTTGATCGTGGCCTTCAGGTCCTGCATCTTCGCGGTGCTGGATTTCAGGACCCGGACCTTCTCCTGGCAGAGGTGCGCGTGCTCGGCCGCCGCGCCGTCGCGCTCGGCCACGAGCGCGCTCTTCTGGCGCCGGAGCAGGGTCTCCGCGCGCCGCATCGTCGCCCGATCGGTCTCGTCGCCGGCGCCGGACGCGGCGGGAGCCGTCGCGTCCGAGATCGCGGCGCTCGCGGCGACGAGCAGCGCGTTCGGCCCCTCTTGCGCCATGCCCAACGCCTTGGCCAGGTGCGCGTCGGAACCGGCCCGGCGCGCGGCGCGGCGCGTCGCCAAGGCCGTCGGCGGCGGCTCGCACGAGTCGCGCGCGAGCTCGAGCTGGAAGGCGGTGCCCACGGGCCGCTGCGTGACCGGCGCCGGCGGGCTCACGGCCACGTGGTCCAGGGGGCTCGCGCAGGGCGCGCCGTAGCCGTCCGGGTCCTCGTCGTCGGCTTCGAGGCGGTCGGCTCGAGAGCTCGTGTCCGTGGAGAGGCTCCGCGCGAGCTGCAACTCCCAGGCGCTCATGGGGCCGCCGTCGCCGCGCACGTTCACGTGGAGGTTGCTGCTCTTCAAGGGCTTCGGCGGGCCCGCCGGCGCGTAGACCAGGAGCCGCAGCTCCTCGGGGCGCGCCCGCGGATCGTCGGCGCCGCCGAGGATGTCCGCGAGCGTCGCGGGCTCGTCGATGGGCTCGAAGAGCATGAACGTCGGCGACGTCGCGCCGGACGTCTTGACCTCCGCGGCGACGAGCACGGCGTCCGGCGCGACGTTCAACGAGAGCGCGGCGACGCACGTCGACACGAAGCGCGGCTGCCCCGACGTCGTGGCGCGGTTCGACGGCTCGAAGCGGAGCGAGGCCAGCGCGACGGCGAGCTTGTCGCCGCCCAGCGCCACGCCGTAGGACGACTGCGTCATCTCGAGGTGCGAGAGCAGGGCCGCGCGGTCCGGGCGCCGCTCGCAGGACCGCGCGTCGCGGAAGAGCGCGGCCACGGCCGCGACCTCCTTCTTCACGGCGACGCCGCCGAAGTCGCGGCGCCTCTCGCGCCGCAGCTCGAGGGAGCGGTGGTAGCCGTGGAGCACGGCGGCGCCGAGGCCCGCGACGGCCGTGGCCGCCTTCATCTTGGCGAAGTCGCCGGCGGCGGAGCCCGTGAGCCCGCGGTTCGTCTCCGCGCGGCCTTCGTGGAGCCGCGTCGTGGAGCCGAAATTCTGGCTGCCGAGCCGCTGCTGGGAGGCCTGCACGATGCCCTCGTGGACCTCGCCGCTGGGCTTGCCCGACTTCTCGACGCCGCGGGTCGTCACCGTCATCGCCGAGCGCCAGAAGCCCAGGGACTGCGCGAGCGACCGCATGCGCGAGAGGAAGGGGAGCTCGAGGAAGAGGATGCCGTAGTTGGGCTTGTTGTTGGCCAGCATGGCCGGCGTGGAGATCGTCTCCGCGACGTTCGCGAAGAGCCAGTGGCGCCACTGGAGCGACGTCTTGAACGCGTGCAAGTTCATGGCCAGGAGCGCGTGGTCGCGGACGCACTCGAACTCGCTCCCGCCGTCGCCGCTCGTGAGGAAGGCCACGAGGAGCGCGACGAAGTCGGCCTGCTTGATGGTGCCGCCCTCGACGGGGAGCGCGTCGACGCGGGAGCGGAAGGCGTCGTCGCGGAGCATCGCGGACACGAGCTCCTTCACGGCGGCCAGGCACTGGATCCGCTCGTGGTGGACCTTCTTGCGCACGTTCTGCCCCGCCTCCGCGGACGACGTCGTGACGCCGGTGAGGCCGCGCGCGCGGGCCACGGCCCGGCCCAGGTGCTCGAAGCCGTGTTTCAGCGTGAGGTGCGTGAGGTGGAACACGGCGTGCAAGCGGTCGTGCTCGACGACGTTGCACGTGAGGAACAGGCTGAGCTGCTTCAGGACGATGTTCGCCTCCTCCTTGGAGCCGGCGCCGTCGATGACCGCGTCGCGGAGCTTGGCCAACGCGCTCTCGTACCGCGACACCGTGAGCCCGTCCGAGCATGTCATCACGAGGCCCTTCGACGTCGCGGGGCTGATCAGGGCGCAGTCGCTCAGGCCCTCGTCGCGCAGCAGCCTCAGGAACACGGCCTCGTCGGCCGGCCCGTCCGGCGTCGAGCTCGAGGGCGTCGCCGCGGTCGCCGCGGTCGCCGTCGTCGCCGGGGTCGCCGTCGTCGCCGTCGCCGCCGGGGTCGCGGCGGTCGCGGCGGTCGAAGGCGTCGCCGGGGTCGCCGTCGTCGAAGGCGTCGCCGTCGTCGAGGGCGTCGGCGCGGGCCGCGGCGACGCGGCGGCGACGGCCCGCGTCCACTGGCGCGTGAGCCGGCCGCCGATCGTCGGCGACACGGCGTCGGACTGCACGAGCACGGGCACGGGCACGGGCGTGAGCGCGGCCGCGGGCACGGGCGACTTGCGCTTCTTCGCCTCCTTGGCTTTGTTCGCCGCCGCGATGCCCTTCGACTTCGCGTCGACCGCGAGCTGCACCTTGGCCGCGCCGGCGACGCGCCGGGCCGCGGCGCGGTCCTTGAGCGTGTCGATCTGCTTCTTGCCCCGGTCGACGCCGTCGCTGATGCCGAAGGAGGCCGGCGTCTGGATGGGCAGGAGGTCCATGAAGATCCGCGCCGCGCCGTCGGTCGTGAGCTCGTTGTGCTGGCTCGCGGGGAGGACCTTGATCTCCGTCGCCTCCTTGTGGCCCGGCGTGACCTTGTCGATGGAGTGGCGCATGAGCTTGTCGAGCGTCGCGATCGCCTCCAACTTGACGCCCTTGGGGAGCAGCCGCGAGCCGCGGATCACGGGAAGCATGTCCATGTTCTCGAGCGTCGCGAGGCAGTCCGCGAGGCCGTAGACGAAGAGCGCGCGCGCGGCGTCGTGCGTGCTCGCCCGGCGCCCGCGGGCGGCGCCGGACGCGGCGAGGAGGGCGTCCGGGTCGAGGTCGCCGACCGTGAGCGGGAAATCCAGCGCGACGAGGCGCGACGGGAAGGCGAGGTCGGGCACGTCGCGCATGAGCTTCGAGAGCGTCTCGACGGGGCGGAACTCGATCTCGACGCGCTGGCCGTCGCGCTCGAAGGGCATGAAGACGCGGCCGTAGTCCTTGGCGCCTGTGTGGATTCCAACCACTGGTTTGGGGGGTCCTGGCCAAACTTTGCAACATGGCAGCTCGGCCAAATCAAAGTCGATTCGGCTGATTTTTGGACGAATCGATCGCTCTCGTCGAGCTCTCGAAGCACGGCGGAAAGCCTCGCGTCGAAACGTTCGCATACGCGCACATTGAAGTCGGGTTGAAGATTTGATTTCCACGCAGCTCGGCGCCCGCGGCCGCCGTCGCGGGCTCCTCGACGCGCGGCGGCCCCAGGACCTTCGGCAGGGAAATCTCGACGGCGCTGCAACTTCTCGCGCCGGTGACCAGGCTCGCGAAGGTGTGGCCGTAGAGGCCGTAGGCGTCGCGCTGCACGCAGACGAACTTGGGCATGGCGTCGTCGTAGAGGCCGCCGGCGGCCGCGAGCTGGATGCGCAGCAGCACCCGCACCGTGAAGTGCGTCATCGACGCCGAGGAGCGGTCGCTCCCGCCGAATTTGGCGCGCGCCGTGACGCAGGCGTTGTCGACGAGCCTGTGGAAAGACACGGTCGTTTCGGGGGTGTTTCGGGGGTGTTTCGGGGGTGTTTTCGGGGGTGTTTTCGGGACGCCGCGTCGCGCGAGCACGTCGAGGCGCCGTCCGCCGCGAGCCCGCGCGCCCAGAGCGCCGTGTTCTCCGAGCATATTGACGCGTATTCAGATTCAAAGGCACGGACGATCTTCCGGTCCGCTACTATCCGCAGCATGGCCATCTCCTCGAGCTCCACGTTCGTCGCCCCCTTGGCCGCCTGGACCAGGCCCCACCAGAGCAGGAAGTTCGGGCACTTCGCCGCCGACGCCGTGGCACCCAGCCACATGACGTGCAGCGTCCCTATCTTGGCCTTCATGTCCTTCCGCCCAATCCTCCCTGCCTTGGCCGCCCAGAACTCGTAGGACCCGGTCGCCTTCTCCAGGAGCGTCGACGGCGCGCCGGCCGCGAGCAAGGCCAGCTTCGTGCCCTTGAACTTCCTCAGCATCTTGAACGCGTTCTCGAGCAGGCGCTCGTCGCCGAGCGCGCCAGACAACAGGGACTCCAGCTCCTTGCCGAAGAGGATGTCGCATTCCCGGACGCCCTTGTCGAAGGTCTCTGTGTGCGTCGACGCGAGGCCCTTCGTCTTCTCGGCCGCGAGCTTCTTCTGGAGGTGCTCGATCTCCGCCCGGAGCGCGTGCGGGTCGTCGGAGAGGAGGTCGGGCTCGGGGGCAGCTGGGGCGGCCTTGTCATCGTCGGCGGCGTGTCCAGATGGGCTCAAGGCAGCCCCGGGCGCCGGGCCATCGAAGGGCGGCGGCCCCGCCGCGGGCGGACACGAGCGGCTGGCGCCGCGGCGCCGCGAGTGAGTCGACGACGACGCCAGGATGGACACTTGGGCCTCAAGTTTTATCGCTGCCAGAATGAAGTCGTCCTTGTGGCAAAATTGCAGCTGGACGCATGGCGCCCCAACACCAAAAAAGCCACGAAGTACGCTCCACGCGCGTCGCTCGTCCGCCGGGTCGCTCGTCGTCGCGGGGACGCGTGGCCGAGGCCGCCGGAGCCGCGGCGGCGGCTCGCCACGGCCGCGGCCGCGGCCGCGACCGAGACAACATGCGTGCGACGGCGGCCCAGCCCCTGCCCGCAGGGTCGCGCGAAGCGAACTTACTACTGCCCGCGCGCGACGACGGGCAGCTCGGCCCTCGAGAAGACGACGACGTTCGCCGACGCGCCGCGCCGGTTCCACCGCGCGGCGGCCACCTCGTCGACGACGAACTTCACGGCGCGGCGCTCGCCGAACGCCCGTTCGAGGCGGAGGAGCCCGTCCGTGAGCAGCGAGCAGATGATGCGGCCGCGAGCGTCGACCGTGTACCGCGCGCCCCAGCCCGTGAGCTTGCCCCTCGCGAGCGCGACGAACGTCGCCTGGAGCTTCCGCCGCCGGCCCGCGGCGCGCACCTCGCGGAGCAGCGCCCGAATCTCCGGGACGTCGATGGCCTCGACGGCGGGCACGCCCGCCTCGCGCGCCTCGAGCGCCGCGGAGCAGGCCGGGCAGCAGGCCGGGACCGGCGCCGCGAGCAGCGGCGCCGCGACGTCTCCGAGCACGTGCGCGGCGACGGATCGCCAGCAGAACCGCACGGACTCGAAGAGGCGCACGAGGTCCGTGAACTCGGCGAGCTTCTTCGCGTCGTCGACGATGATGCCCGCGACGGCGAAGAGGGCGGCGCGCGGGAACGCGACGACGACCGTGCCGCTCTGGCCGGCGCCGCGCGCCGCGCGGCCCACGAGCTGGAGCCAGGACTTCACGCCCGAGGGCGGCTCCATGACGATGATGGTGCGCAAGTCCGGGTGGTCGAGGCCGCGGTGCCCGGCCTCGTTCACGACGCCGACCGCGCCGTAGCCCGTCTCCGAGAGCGGCGCCTTGAGCCGCCGGAGCCGGCTCCGCTTCTCATCCATGGCGAGGTTCCCCCGGATCTTCACGACGTCGCGCTCGGGGAACTGCGTGGCGAGGTGGTCGCCGAGGGTCTCGACGACGCTCTTGCGGAAGGCGAACACGAGCGCGGCGCCGTCGTCCGCGTCGCGGACGTAGTCGACGACGCCGCCGCCGTCGCCCGTGTGGATGTCGACCATGGAGTTGATCGGCGACGCCGTCCGGATGACGAGCGTCGCCGGCGCGGGCGGCAGGCCGAGGGCCTCGAGGAGCGAGCCCACCTCGAACTTGGACAGCGTGCCCGACAGGGCGACGACGGGCGCCTTCGCGCCGGCCAACGCGAAGCAGGCCTGGATCGTGCGCCCCTGCGCCTCCTGGCTCCGCCGGAACGAGTCGTCGTTGCCGACCTCCTCGTCGCACTCGTCGATGACCACGAGGGAGATGATGCCCGCGCGCGCCGCGAGCACGAACCACGCCGCGTGCTCCGCGAGCATCTCGGGGCACATGACCAGGACGGCGACGTCGCACGCCTTGGCCGAGATCGCGGCCAGCACGGGGTGGCGCGCCGTCGACGCCGACGTCGAGCTCGACGCGGCGGCGTCCGCGTAGTCGAAGACGACGTCGCCGTCGTCGTCGCGCGCGCCCGCGCGCTCCAGGCCGGCGACCGCGGCGGCGAAGTCGCCGCGCCCGCCCGCGTTCCGCCAGCCCTCGCCGTAGCGCCCCTGGAGGTCGTCGACCTTGTCGGCGACGAGCGCCTGCGTCGGCGCGGTCCAGACGCAGACCTGCTGCGCGCCGCGGTCCAACGCGTCCCGGGCCCGAGCCGCCGCGACCATCGCCGGCGGCAGGCTCTTGCCGGCGCCGCAGCGCACGGCGAGGAGGACGTCGCGCCGCTCGTGGAGCGCCGCGATGGCGTCGACCTGGAACCCCCGCAGCGGGCCGTAGAGCGGCAGGTAGTCGTTCGCGAACGAGTACGGGTCGTCGAACGGCGGCGGCAGCGAGACCCGCCCCTCCGGTCCGTCGACGAAGCGGAGCACGAGCGCGTCGCGCCCCGCCGCGTCCTCCGCGTCCGCGGCGTCGACGATCTCGACGCCACGCCGCAGCAGCTCGCGCGCCGCGCCGCGGAACGCGTCCGGCGCGACGTCGTCGTCGATGGCGAGGAGCGCGTCGGCGAGCTCGCCCCACCGCGCGAACCACGTCTCCCCGCGCTCGGGGTCCGTCTTGTGGCAGAGGTCACCGTCGCTGTCGGCCTCGGCGTCGTCGGCGGCGTTGTTGTGCCGATTCGTCGACTCGCCCAGCACCGATCGCCGGCGAACCTTCCGAGAGCCCGTGCTCGACCGCCGACGGGCCGATTTTTTCCATTCCAGCGACGGCGCGTCGCCCAGGGAGTCTAACTCGAGGTCCATGGCGTCCGCCGACGCCAGAGAGGCGCACGTCGACGAGTTTCGGTCTGGCTTCGGCGGCCGAAGCTCAGCGCTGCCTCTTGCCTGCGGGTTCTCTTGAACCGCTCTCCGAGCGGGGCAAGGTCGGCCCGCAGGCGGGTGGAAGCCCGAGAAGGCGGACGTGCGCGCGCTCAAGGGCTTCGGCGGCCTCGACGCCGAGTGCCTCGGCGAGGTCGTCGGCGCCATGCGGCCCGTCGTCGAGGAGCGCACGGCGCCCAAGCCCAAGCCCAAGGTCGTCAACGTGCCCGTCTTCGCGACGCTCCTCGTGAAGCGGCTCAGCGAGGACCACCACAGCGGCGACGTCAAGCTCGAGGCGACGATGATCCAGCGCACGCTCTTCGCGGACCCGCTCCTCATCCGCGAGGCCGCGGGCAGCTCGACGCCCGACGACGAGGCGTCGCTCCTCGGCTTCGAGATGCGCGTGAACGACAGCCTCGACAAGGACACGCTCATCCACGTGCGCAAGACCATGCGCGGCACGCTCGGCGACAGCGCGCCGGGCCAGACCTTCTGCGCCGTGACGGCGTCCGCGGAGCTGCCCCTCGTGCTCGTGCCCCTCGTCGACTGCCAGCCGTTCGGCATCCGCGCGCTCGAGCTCACGCTCGAGTATTCGAGCTTCGTGTCCGCGGTGCCCGGCGGCGACATCTACAACTTCCGGCCGGACCTGCTCTGCCACGTCGAGGACCTGCGGAACCTGGTCTGCGTCAAGAACTGGAACGGCGCGAAGCGCGAGTCGCTCGACCAGATGTACAGCTGGGACCTCATCAACACGTCGCCGACGGTCGAGTTTTTGGTGGAGGCGTCCGTGGACAAGGGTTCCGGCCAGTGCAAGACGGTCTACTGCCCGCGCGTGCGCCTCACGTGGTTCGTGACCAAGGACTGGCTCGACGCGTTCATCACGACGATGCTCCCCGTGCTCTTCGTCGCCATGGGCAACATGCTCAACGGCATCTACTGCCTCCCGGGCGCCGACGACCACATGGGCCACGGCATCGTCGACGACGACTGGAACCACGACAACCCCGAGGACGTCCAGGCGCAGCGCGGCGCGTTCTTCGCAAACCAGCTCACGCTCGCGCTCACCTTGGTCTTCATGATCCCGCAGCTCCGGTCCACGTCGTCGTTGTCGAACCAGGCGTCGTCCAACGACACCTTCGTCGGCCTCCTCTTTTTCGGCCTCTGCGTGGGCCTCTGGGGCGGCATCAACCGCTCGCACCGCGTCTTCCTCCACGTGTCCAACTACATCCTCTTCGGCACGCTCGTCGTCCCCGTCAAGCACATGACCCACTACATGCGCATCCGGAAGACGATCCACAAGGCCTTCCGCCACGACGAGTCGCCCCTCTGCTTCAACGGCCGCCCGGGCAAGCCCAAGAAGAAGGCCGGCGGCGGCAAGGCCGGCGGCGGCGACGTCGACGTGTCGACGCTCGCGCACTTCTACGCCTTCGACGCCGCAAGGCCATCCACGCCAACGACGCCATCAGCAAGCACCCGGACTCGCCCTGGCGCCGCACGACCTCCAAGGCCGGCGTCCTCGAGAGCGTCTACTGCGGCATCCGCTCCGAGGACATCAAGACGGACGTCTTCTCCTGGGGCCAGCCGCCCCAGCTCACGATCGACAGCATCGCCAAGAAGGCCCACGGCTCCATCAACCTCGGCGCCCAGATGGGCGCCGACGCCGTCGCGGGCCTCAAGAGCCACTTCACGCCCACGCACGGCGAGGCCAAAATCGGCGACGAGGCCGGCGGCTCCCAGGTCACCGAGAATACGGGCTACGCCTGGAAGATGGGCCGCGACAACATGTCGACGACGGCCGTGCGGACGGCGAAGTAGGGGGGGGGGCGCGCTTTAACTCCGCCTCGTGCGAGATCAGATTAGGGAGAATTGACCGACGGCGTCCCGACAAGTGTCCCGACTTTGAAATCCTCGAGCCGGTACGCCGGCGCCCGGCGGGTTGAAGTCTTCAGTGAAGCCGACCATCGCCCACAGCGGAGCCTCAATTTGCTTCGACGCCGCGCGGCCGCAACTTACTGTGCCGTCCTGCAGCAAACGCGTTGACACCGCTCGCCCTCGCACCGTGCGACACCACTCACCCTCTCTCGCACCGCACGCGACCCGGGAGGTGCGAAACGGTGCCCGTTTTCCCCGCCCGCGGACGCCCCGAACCCCTACCGGCTGCCGCAACCTTCTTTGCCCCGCGGCGCTTCGTTCCCCCGACGCCGCCCGACCGCTCGCAGGCGCGACCGCCACGATGATCGCCGCGGTGCTCCTGGCCTCCTGCGCGTCGGCGCTCGTCGCCCCGGCGTCGCGGCGCGCGGCGCCGCGGACGCGGATGCGCGCCGGGCTCACGCTCTTCGACAAGATCTTCCGGGACCACGTCGTCTCCGAGGACGACGGCGGCGCGGCGCTCATCTACATCGACCGCCACCTCGTCCACGAGGTGACGAGCCCCCAGGCCTTCGAGGGCCTCCGGCTCGCGGGCCGGCCCGTGCGGCGCCCCGACTGCACGCTCGCGACCGTCGACCACAACGTGCCGACGTCGAACCGGGACTCGTTCCACAGCGGCACGGAGAGCGTCGACACGTTCCTCGAGGACGTGGCGTCGCGGACGCAGGTCCTCGCGCTCGAGGAGAACGTCGCGGATTTCGGCGTCAAGTACTTCGGCATGAGCGACAAGCGGCAGGGCATCGTCCACATCATCGGCCCCGAGCAGGGCTTCACGCTGCCCGGGACGACCTGCGTCTGCGGCGACTCGCACACGGCGACGCACGGCGCCTTCGGCGCGCTCGCGTTCGGCATCGGCACGTCCGAGGTCGAGCACGTCCTCGCGACGCAGACGCTGCCCCAGAAGAAGGTGAAGAACATGCTCGTGCGCGTCGACGGCCCGTTGCGGCCCGGCGTGACGTCCAAGGACATCGTGCTCCACGTCTGCGGCGAGATCGGCACCGCGGGCGGCACGGGCTGCGCGATCGAGTTCGCCGGCGAGGCGATCCGCGGCCTCACGATGGAGGGCCGCATGTCCATCTCGAACATGGCCATCGAGGCCGGCGCGCGCGCGGGCCTCATCGCCCCGGACCAGGTCACCTACGACTACCTCGAGGGCCGGCCCATGTGCCCGACGGGCGCGGAGTGGGACGCGGCCGTCGCATACTGGGACACGCTCGGGAGCGACGCGGACGCGGCCTACGACACGACGGTCATCATCGACGCCAAGGACATCGCGCCGACCGTGACCTGGGGCACGTCGCCCCAGGACACGGCGCCCATCACGGCCGTCGTGCCCGACCCCGCGGACGCGGCCGACGCGCCGCGCAAGGCGGCCATGGAGCGGTCCCTGGCCTACATGGGCCTCGAGCCGGGCACGAAGCTCGCCGACGTGCCCGTGGACATGGTCTTCATCGGGTCCTGCACGAACGGCCGCATCGAGGACATGCGCGCCGTCGCGGCCGTCGCCGAGGGCCGGAAAGTCGCCGCGAACGTCGAGCGCGCGATGGTCGTCCCCGGCAGCGGCCTCGTCAAGGAGCAGGCCGAGGCCGAGGGTTTGGACAAGATCCTCGAGGCCGCGGGCTTCGAGTGGCGCGAGCCGGGCTGCTCCATGTGCCTCGCGATGAACCCGGACAAGCTCAAGCCCCAGGAGCGGTGCGCGTCGACGTCGAACCGCAACTTCGAGGGCCGCCAGGGCAACGGCGGCCGCACGCACCTCATGTCGCCCATCATGGCCGCCGCCGCCGCCGTGACGGGCACGCTCACGGACGTCCGCGATTTGCTCGGCGACGTCGAGAACGGGTCCTTCGAGGCGCCGCCCGAGGCCACGCCGACGATCGACGCCTTCTTCGCCGACGCCACGGCCTCGACGGGCCCCCAGATCAACGCCGACGCCACGGCCGGCGGCGGCGACGGCGACGCGGCCGCGGGCGGCGGCATGACGCCGTTCGTGACGCTCACGGGCCTCGCGGCGCCGCTCGACATCCAGAACATCGACACGGACATGATCATCCCCAAGGAGTTCCTCAAGACCATCAAGCGCAGCGGCCTCGGCTTCGCGGCCTTCGCGGAGCTGCGCTACGAGAACCCGGACGTCGTCGCGACGGCCGGCACGCCGGACGTCGCCGTGGACCGCGCGGACTTCGTGCTCAACCAGGCGCCCTGGCAGGGCGCGGCGAACATACTGGTGGCCGGCGACAACTTTGGGTGCGGCTCGTCGCGCGAGCACGCGCCCTGGTCCATCAACGACATGGGCATCCGGTCGATCATCTCGACGTCGTTCGCCGACATCTTCTACAACAACTGCTTCAAGAACGGCATGCTCCCCATCATCCTCCCCCGCGACGCCGTCGAGGACCTCCTCGACGCCGCCGCCAAGTGCGAGCAGCTCACCGTCGACCTCCCGTCGCAGACGGTGTCGCGCGCGGACGGCACGGGCGCGACGTACTCGTTCGACGTCGACCCCTTCCGCAAGAACAACCTCCTCAAGGGCCTCGACGACATCGGCCTCACCATCGCCAACAACGCCGACGACATCGCCAAGTTCGAGGACAAACGCTCCCGCGTCTGGCCCTGGCTCGACGGCGCGACGACGCGCGTGCCGGACAACATGCCCGTGCCGCTCGCCGCGTCCGCGCAGGAGCTCCAGGCCAGCCGGTGAGCCGGGCCCGCCCCGTCCGCCGCCCCGAAGGCGCGCGGTATACATACACGCCAGCGACCGCCGTTGTTACTCGTCCTCGTCCTCGACCTTGGGCAGGCCCGACAGGTCGGGCGCGACGCGCTCGTAGGGCTTCGCGTCCGCGTCGTTGTTGAACTTCTGGCCCACGACCTTCTTCTGCTTCTTCAGCCGCTCGTAGTCCGGGTAGCGCACGAGGATGAACTCGCCGCTCTGCTTCTCCACGGGCACGTAGCGCGAGAAGGGCCCGAACTCGCCCGACTGCGAATTCGCAAACATCTCGAGGTCGACTTGGCGCTTGTTCTTCGCCGCGTTGTCCTCGGTCTGCTTCCGCAGCCGGAGCACGAGGGGCGACTCCTCGTCGATCATGCCCGCCTTGGCCTCGGCGGCCTTGCGCGCGCCCGCGAGCGCGCCCGCCTGCTCCTCGGCCGCCGTCTTGTCGATTTGAGGCGGCGCGGCGCCGCTGCACGCGCCCAGGATCCCTCGCCGCCCGCAGCCCGACTCGCTGAAGAGCTCCGTCTTGTAGTCGGACAGCGCCGCCGAGGCAGCGCGCGGCATCGCGAGCGACGCCGCGGCGCCGGCGACGAAGCGGCGGCGGCTGGTTTGTGGGCGTGTTGTTGCCGGTTCGAGCGCGCAAACGCTTGCGAACAAGATCAGCGTTCTGCGCATCATGTTTTTTTGCACGCGTCGCTGCTGCTGCAGCGGAAGGCAGAGGTGCGCTGGCGGGCGACGGCGCGACGACGATGACGACGGTGGTGGCGAACTGCAATCACACCAGTGTGCACTGCACAAACCGGTGCAGACGATGGCGCTCCCAAACGTGCTGAAAAGCGCGGCCTTGCGCGGCTTCCGACGCAGCATATACCTCCGGCGCGCGGCGCCGTTCTCGGCCAACGCCGTCGCGGAAGAGGCCGCGCCGCCGTACGTCCTGCTCCCGCAGGACGACGCGTCGCCGGCGCGCGTCGCCTCCCTGCTCGACGCGCATGGGTTGGTCGTCATCCACGACCTGGTGCGCGGCGATGCTCTGGAACACTTCTCGTCGTCGCTGCGCGAGCACACGTCCGAGGTCCTCGCGGACTGCGAGGGCGTGCCGCTGGGCGTGGGCTCCGCGCGGTCGTTCGAGGAAGTCGTGCTCCGGTCGCCCGGGCGCTACGACGTGCCGCACGACTTCGCGGCGCTGGAGAAGCACGGCGCGCTGGACCGCGTCGAAGCGCTCGCGCGCGCCGCGCTGGGCGACGACTGCGAGCGCGCCTTCTGCGGGACCGTGCTCGCGCGGCCCGGGTCGCCGGCGCAGGAATGGCACGCGGACTCGCTCCACGAGTCCGAGGCGGAGCGGCCGGCGCAGCTGCTCAACGTGCTCGTGGCCCTCGACGACATCACGGTGCCCATGGGGCCCACGGAGCTCCTGCCGGGGTCCCACCAGCGGACGAACCACCGCGCGGAGGCGCGGCGGGAGAGGCCGCGCTTCGACGAGGCCATCGTCTACCAGCACGCGAGCCACGGCCCGGCGCTGCTGGGCATGGACGCGGGGGCCGTCTTCCGGGCCGTCGTGCCCCGGGGCGGCGGCGTCATCTTCGACGACCGCATCCTGCACCGGGGCGGCGCGAACGCGTCGGCCGACGACCGCTGGGTCGGCTACTTGAGCTATTTGCGCCGGGGCTTCTCCGCGGACACGCACTTCGAGGCCTTCCGGCGCCTGCGCGACCTCGTCGCCGCGGCGCCGGACGTCCCGACCGTGCGCGCGGAGTTCCCGGGCTTGGCGGCCGTCGGCGAGAACGCGCTTTTGGACGGCGCGTCGGGCAGCCAGGTCCACGCGTCCGTGCTCGACGCCGTGCGCGAGGCCTTGGTCTTCGCCGCCGCGAACCTCGGCGGCGCCTACCCGTCGTCGGCGAAGGTGCTGGACACGGTCGTGGCCGCGCGCGCGGCCGCGGCGGACCTCTTCGGCTGCGAGCCCGCGGAGGTCGTCTTCGGCAACAACGCGACGTCGCTCGTGCTGCGCGCGTCGCGGGCGCTGGCGCGGACCTGGGACGCCGGCGACAACATCGTGCTGTCGTCGCTGGACCACGACTGCAACGCGGGGCCCTGGGCTTGGGCCGCGCGCGACGCGGGCGTTCGGGTGCGGTGGATCCCCGTCAAGGGCGACGGCTGCCTCGACGTCGACGCGCTCGAGGCGCTCGTCGACGCGCGCACGCGCCTCGTCGCCTGCGGCTACGCGAGCAACGGCCTGGGCTCCGTCACGGACGTGTCGCGCGTCTGCGGCGTCGCGCGAAGAGCCGGCGCGGTCTCGTTCGTCGACGCGGTGCACTACGCGCCCCACGGCCTCGTCGACGTCGACATCGTCGGCTGCGACTTCCTCGTGCTGAGCCCCTACAAGTTCTTCGGCCCCCACTGCGGCGCGCTCTTCGGGCGGCGCGAATTACTGGAAGCGCTCGAGCCCGCGAAGCTCCGCGTCGCGGACGGCGGCCTCCCGAGCGACGCCAACTGCCACATGTCCAAGTGGGAGGTCGGCACGCAGAACTTCGAGGCGCTGGCCGGCACGACGGCGGCCGTCGACTACCTCGCGTCGCTCGGCGACCGCTTCGGCGGGCTCGCGGCCGGCGGCCGGACGCGCCGCGAGCGGCTCGTCGCGGGGTTCGGCGCCATCGCGCGCCACGAGCACGTGTTGAAGCGGCGCTTCCTCGCCGGCGCGGCGAAGGTCCCGGGCCTCGTCGTCCACGGCGTCGCGGACCTCGGGAGGCTGGACGAACGGACGTGTACGTTCGCGGTGACCAAGGCCGGCGTCGACCCGGAGCGGCTCACGGCGGCGCTCGTCGACGATCACGGCGTCTACTGCACCTACGGCAACCACTACTGCACGTTCTGGGACGACCTCGGCCTCGACAACGCGACGGGCGCGACGCGGCTCGGGTTCCTCCACTACAACACGGCCGGCGACGTCGACAAGGCCCTCGCCGCGCTCGCGGCGGTCGAGTAAACGGAAATTTCGGGACTTTCGTTACTTCAGGGGCCCTCGGTGATCTCGTCCTCGCCGTCGAGGTCCGGGACGAGCGCGCCGCGCGCGCGCGCGAGGACCGCGTCGAGCTCGCCGAGGTCGAGGTCCTTGGGCTCCGACGAGTCCGCGAAGTCGCGGAGGAGCGCGTCGTCGCCCGATTCGGCGGCGACGTCGGCGGCGTAGTCCGCCGTCTCCGGCGCGTCGAGCGCGTCGTCGAGGTCCGGGAAGAAGTCGTCGGTCTTGTCCGCGAGGAGCTCGTCGACGTCCGTCGCTTCCGCCGGGCGCGGCGCGCCGAGCTCCGGCACGCCCGGCACGTCGAGGTCGACGCCGAGGCCGGCGCGCAGGTGCGCCAGGCTGCGGCGGCTCGCCGGCGCGAGGAGGTCGCCGCCGACGTCGTCCGCGGGCGTGTCGTCCGCGTAGTCGGCCGCGACGCGCTTCGCCTCGGCGACGCGCGCGTCGGCCCGCAGCTTCTCGGAAGCCAGATGGATGCGCGCCCCGGCCTCGGCGTCGGCGGCCTTGGCGTCCGCGTGCTGCTTGCGCTTGAGCGCGGCCTTGGCGCGCGCGGCGCGCTTCCGCATGTCGTCGCGGACGTCCGCGAAGCGGCGCCGCTCGTCGCGCGTCGCGCGGCTCCGCTCCTCGCGCAGCGTCGCCGCGAGGTCCAACGACCGCGCGTGGGTCGCCACGAGCGCCGCGCGCTTCGCGTCGCGGAGCTCCGCGGCGCCCGCCTCGCGCGCGACGGCCGCCAGCGCGCCGTGCACGGCCTCCTCGCCCTCCATGCCCTTGGCGTCGTCGTCCGCCGCCGCCGCGCGGAGGATGGCGTCGAGCGCCGCCTCGTGGGCCATCTCCTCCGCGTCGCCGAGCTGGCGCGCCTCCGCGAGCGCCGCGGCGTCGCGCGCCGCCGCCGCGGCGCGGAGCCGCGCCGCGCGGTCCGCCGCCTCGCCCGCGCGCGCGCCCGCGAAGGCGTCGGCGGCGTCGCGCGCGCGCTGGACGCCCTCGGCGGCGTCCAAGATGGCCTGCTTGGACGCGAGGCGCTGGTCCCGGCGCCGCGCGCCGTCGGCCTCGGCGTTCGCGAGCCGCGCCGCGCGGCGCCGCTCGACGGCCGCGAGGCCCGCGTCGCGCCTGAGCGTCGCCTCGAGGAAGGCGCGCTCGGCGGCCCGGCGGCTCCGCGCCGACTCCTCGAGCGCCGCCGCGTGCTCCTCGTCCTCGGCGAGGCGCCGCGCGTCCGCGTCGAGCTTCGCGTCTTCCGCCTGCAACCGCAGCGCCGACGCGCGCGCCGCGAGCGCGGCGCGCGTCGCCTGGGACGCCACGTCGTCCCTCAATTCCTTGGCGTCGGCCTCGCGCTCCAGCGCGTCCTTCATCGTCGCGACGCGGTGCGCCGCCTCGGCCTCGAGCTGCGCGAGCTGCTCGCGCTCCGCGGCGTCCGCGAGTTCCCTTTCCAGCTTCGCCTCGGCTTGCCGCGCGACCTCCTCCGCGCGCTGCGCCGACTCGGCGCGGCGCTGGGCGGCGAAGTCGAGGGCATCGCGGGCGCGCTTCTCGGCGCGTTCCACGGCGGCGAGGCGCCGGTTCCGCAGCGCCGCGCGCGCGTTCGCCTCGTCTCGATCCCGCCGCGCGTCCGCGTCGCGCGCGCGCCGCGCGGCCGCCTCCTCGGCTAAAGCCGCCGCGGCCTGCTTCGCCGCGAGGCCGTGGGCGGCGTCGGCGGCGCGCTCGGCGGCGAGGGCCGCCGCGACCTCGAGCTCGCGCGCGTCGCGCGCGGCGGCCGCCTCGAGCGCGATGCGCTCGCGCTCGCGCCGCGCGAAGTCGACGGCGCGCCGCGGGTAGTAGGCGATGGCCGGGTAGGCCGCGTCCTTGGGCAACGGGAAGGGGAAGCGGTCGTAGGACTCGAGCGCGTCGACGGCGATGGCGCCGAGGCCGCGCGCGAGCGCGGGCGACGCGGCGGCCGCCGCGTCCGCGCCGTCGTCGGGCACGCCGCGCGCGAGCTTGGCGAGGCGCGCGTCGGCGCGCACGACCGCGCCGAGCTTCTTGAGGGCCGTGGTCACGGACGCCTCGGGCGCCGCGAGGGGCGCGCGCAGGAACCGCGCGACGTCCGCGGCCGTCGCGCACCCGAGGAGCGACGCGCGCGCGACCTTGGCCACGGCCAGGGGCGCCAGGAAGAGGGACTCGGGCGCCTCCGGCGCGGAGAACAAAGCGTCCCAGACGCGGAGCCAGTGGCGCTTCGGCAGCACCTCGCTGAGCATGCTCCGCAGCATCGGCCACGCCCACGCCGTCGCGGAAGCGCCGACGTCCCGGAAGTGCGCGGCGAGCTCCGGGTCCACGGTCCCGAGGGCGTCGTCGAGGGCCTGGAGCATGGGCAACGGCGGCTCGGGCCAGCAGGCGAGCCAGCCCCGGGCCCAGCGGCCCAGCACGCAGACGAGCGCCTCGAAGGCGCAGAGCGCGTCGCCGCCGAAGACGACGACGAAGGGGTAGGCCGCGTGGGCGAGCCACTCGGCGCCGGCGAGCGCCGGGCACCAGCGCGCCAGCGCGCCGCAGACGCGCACGAGCGTCCGCGTCGTCCGCGAGTCCGCGACGTCGCGCGTCGCCGCGCGCGCGAGCTCGGCGGCCGCGTGCGCGGCGTCGCCGGGGTCCGACGCGGCCTCGACGCCGTCGGCGAGCTCGTCGAACTCGGGCTGCTTCTCCGGGAGCTTCAGCAGGAAGCGCCAGATGAGGGGCCGGTACTTGGCCGGGTACTCGCCGTTCTCGCTGAGCAGGTGCCGCAGCCGCCGGTCGCTGAGCCACGTGTTCTCGCCGGGCACGAGGCGCCGCACGCGGTGGAGCGGCGCGGGGCCCGTGCGGCCGAGGCGGCCCGTCGCCCGCGGCGCGGCGCCCCGCGGCGCCGGGGCGCCGCCGCCGCCGCGCGCGAACGCGGCGCCGGGCCCGCCGCGGTGGACGCGCGGCGCCGCGGCCGCCGCGGCGCCGCCGTCGGCCGCGCCGGCGCCCGGCTCCGTCTCCCAGGCGATCTGGACCCGCGGCGGCTGGGGCACGGCGACGTCGACGACGCCGTCGCCCCGGGGCACCGCGGCCGCCGCGCCGTGGCCGAGGCCGCGGCCGCCCCAGGCCCGCGCGCCCGGCGCGTCCGCGGGCCGGCGCTTCGTGAGCGCCGTGCGCGTCGGCCGCCCCGTGATGGGCGACCGCGTGGCCGGCGGCGCGTTGCCGTCGGCGTTCTCGTCGCCCTCGTCCCAGTCGCCGACGGCCTCGCGGTAGCGGCGCGGCGCGCGCTGCTCGAGCGGCACGGGCTCGTAGCCGCCCGCGCGCTCGCGCTCGAGCACCGCGCGGCGCCGCGCGGCGACGAGGTCCACGAGCAGCAGGCAGCCGTCGGACGTCGCGACGCACATGGACCGGCCGCCGCGGTCGACGCAGAAGCCGATGGCGGCCGCGGCCGCGCGCGGCGCGACGTCGAACGCGCACGTCGCGTCGCGGCCGCCGAGCGCGAGCGCGAGGACGCGGCCGTCGTCGCAGAGCAAGAGGAGCTCGTCGGCGCGCTTCCACTCGACGCGCACGGCGTGGCTCGCGCCGGGGGGCAGCCGGGACACGCGCTGGAGGCACTCGCGGCCGACGCTCCACTCGTAGAGCGCCGCGCCCGCGGCCGCCGCGCGCGCGCCCCCGGGCCGGAAGGCCAGGGCCCGCAGCCGAAAGGCCGGGCCGGCGTCCTCGGCGGGCGCGCTCAGCCGCTCGCGGAACTCGAGCGTCGCGAGGTCGACGACGGCGACGGAGCCGTCGCGGCCGAGGAGCGCGACCTTCTCGCCCGGCCGCGACGGCCCGTCGTCGACGAACCGCGCCTCGACGATGTCGAGGCCCCGGGGCTTGGGCACCTCCTTCATGCGCGCCCAGGACCCGGACGCGGACCGCGCGTCCCAGAGCCACGCGTGGTCCCGCGACGCGGACACGACGAGCGGCTCGCTTCCGTGCGCGTCGAGGCTCGCGATGGGGCCCGCGCGGTGCGCGCCGTGGATCGTCGCCTCGACGTCGCCCGTCGCCACGTCGACGGCGACGAGCGCCGGCGCCTTGGGCGCCACGAGGGCGCAGGCCACCGTCGACGGCGTCGCCCAGCACAGCGCGGACACCTGCGCGCCGAACGTGTGCGCGCGCCGCCACGAGTTCCGCGACACGTCGACGACGACGAGGCACCCGCGCTCGTCGACGGCGGCGACGACGGAGCTCGACGGCTCCATGGCCACGGACGTGAACCGCAGCCGCAGCGTCGACGACGCGCGCACGGGGCGATTGCGAACCGTGCAGACGACGCCCTCGTGGGTCATGATCGGCGGCTTGCCCGTCACCCAGAGCCGCCCGCGCGTCACGCTGTCGCTGAGGGTGGCGACGGAGGCCATCGCGTTGGTTGGGTGTTGCTGTGTGCGACGCACTACTTAACCGCCATATTCGGCCGATGTTTGGGCTTCGGGTGCGGTAAA